TATTAATATAAAATAATTCATATCTCTGTTTTTGTTATGTTTTTGCGACGCTTATTATTTATTGTACTTAATGATGGACGATGTAAGATAAAAGTTGTTTTTTCAATGGCGATCTGCATTTTTGATAAGTCCATAACAATAATGTAAGTACATATTATAAGATTATTGTTCCGTCAATAGTCAATAGATAGACATTAGGACAGCCTCTATCTTGTTAAGGAGCATTTCACATAATTGTCCATTTGCCATGGTTGATAGACGGTAACGGTGAGTATTCGTATCCGGATCCAGGTAGGTTGCACCAGGCATATACAAGATTGTTATATTCGAATATTTCAGTAATATAACGACTTTGACATTACGTTTAATATAAAACTGTTGCAGTCTTATTACAAGTTACAAAATGTGGTTTATTGGTTTTAGAAGAGTTTTTTTACAAATTCCCTTAGCCGTGGCCTCACAATCTTCGCGAAGTTTATCATTTACTGTTAAATTCCTTACTTTACATTTTTATTTAGCATATATTTTTCGTGAAACTTCTTTCGTGAAACAGACTTTGAACAATTAACAATTAACTTAACTTATTCCGTGCGGGATTCGTAACAGCAGCCGGTAGCGAATCTAAATGTTTTGCCTTCATATTGCTCTATAATATTGGCAGTAGGCATAGTTGTTGCTATAGTTGAATCGGCCTTTTTAAATGAGTACGTTATTTACTCGTAGTTTTATTAGTTATATTTATATAACAAAAATTATATAGGCCATATAGCTCGAAAAAGCGACAACGCATGGACCATGGAGGGAATAGGTTCTCGAGTGGCAGTCGGTTACCGGTAACCGAAATGTAACTAGAAGGAGGGACGACCTGGTAAGAGATGCAGGAAGTCAATAGGTGTGGTGGCTCAAGACCGTGCTTTGTGGTTATGTTCACCAGTTAATTTGGTCAATGGCTGTTATGATGATGATGATGATGATAATAAAACAATTTGATCTATGGGCCTCTCCATAGATTGCCTTATAGGGGAGATATTTGCCATAGATGCCACGCTTAGCAGGCGGGTTGGCAGCCGCAGTTTTTTAATTTTTTAGTTGTTATTAGATTAGATTATCCTGGTTTGGTTCCTTTTATAACCTCTTACGAAGCTCATGGGACGATATGGGGTAATGGAGATTTTTACACCGCCACTACATGGTCGACCTAAAGTATGTTACATAGTAAAATGCCAATGCAACTAACGCATATCTTCAAAAACTACACATTTATTCAAAACCGGCAACGATCCAGACGCCTCCAGCGGATAGTCAAGCACCGGAACATCGGGCATTGAGGCGTAACGGCAAAAAACATTGACCGTGGAAACCTTTCACGTCCTATTGTCGTACGATTGAAAATGTCAGTGAGGCCTCCCGGCGGTCGACTGTACCACAACGTTGCTATTTACGGGCATTGTCAAGGTTGGGTTTATTATGCGTGAACTTAACACAGACGTCAATAGATCGAGTGTAAAAATGTCCAAACTTATATCAATGGTCTACAGTTAGGGTTGCCAATCGTACTATATAATATTACTATATTATATAGCACGATCATATTTTCAGTAGGTGTACTTGGTGTACTGTACTTTCAGTTACCCTGACCTTGTAGCGGCGGTGTAAAAATATCCACTATCATCACGATGTGTTACCAAAATAAATAGTATGCAAAAATACTATAATTTGAGCCTGACAAAATTTATAACAACTGAATTATATTTTCTTGCACATACAAGTAAAAAACAAAAAACATGAATACATGCATAATTTATTCTTACTTTTGTAGAATATTATATTTCATCTTACGTACTATATATTTTAATGCTATTGTTCATTCTTCTCAGAAATAAACGTATATTGTTTATTTCTTCCAATAATAGTTGGCAACCCTACGTACAGTGGGTTGTTACGCTTGAGTTGCGGTTGATTGTACATGACTGAAGCGACGTATTAAATTTATATAACTGAGGTACTGTTGACAGATGACATTGTTCCGATAGTAACGTAAATAAATCTATTAAATAAAGAAACAACTTTTGTACGTCTCTCAGCCGAACACAGGCCTTCTCTAAATTCAAAGAGGGTTTTAATTGTCCCAATGCTTGCAAAATGCGCGTGCAATATGTGCGTGCAATACGTGCGTGTATACTATACTCGTAATATGTCTTAAGAGGTGACCGAGAGAAATGAAACAAATGAGCAGCGGCATTTTCCTGAGAAAAACTCAAAATAATAAAAAACCGCGGTTGCCAATTCTCAGGCAAATTGTAAATATGAGGCAATCTGAGGTAATCTGAGGTGAAATATGAGGTAATGATAATTACATGTGTCAGTCATTGAATCAGAAATGATAAATTTTAATAGGTACATAAGTAATTATAAGTACGACGTATCTGAGACGATTACATCACGTTATTGAAGATTGAGAGCATAAGGATGCAAATTCATCAATGTTCGTATTGTACGAAGGCGTCTTTCGCCTTGGTCTGTAGTTCTCATAGACCTGATATTGTTTGGGGACATTAAATCAGATCAACCTTCGAGCGCCCACCGTTTGATTAGCCAATCACTTTTGAGTGGTGACGATAAACAATTTTTAGTTACGTATATATATTATACTAGTGATCCGCGCCGGGTTGACACGGGTGATTTCTGGATTCCTTAACACAAGTGGATACTGTGTCTCATAGACATCTACATCTATCCTCGGTTAAGAATCAAAATGCAGATGCGTTGTCACATCTGATGACTAAGATGAAATGCCTCATTCCCGGTAAAAAGGGTCGCCGGTTCTTTACACTCACCATACAAAACAAAGCAGCATTAAGCAGCTATTTTATTCAAATTTCTTCAAATTCAAAAAATTAAAAATCTCACTCTTTTCAAAAAAAAATATGGACTAGCAATGCTGTCACAAGCTGCTGTATAACTGCAATGTGGTAGCGGAGAGTCCATCGTATCGTTTAGTCCGGTGGGTGTCACAAAAGACGAATATGGTATATGCCACAAAACATAGAACTTCCGAAATGCGACAGTGTCACTATCTTGTTTACGTCGTAAAATACCGACACTAACGACCGAGAGTAGCAACAAAGGTGCAAGACGTCTCGGACCGCGATCGTCAAAACTTTGCTCAGTTTTGCTCGTAGATAGCTTTGCTCGGATATTCTCGTATAAAAAAATTATTTAAAGCTGTAGTCATAGGTATCGGATTATACCTCAGTATCGGGAAATTCGTAAAACGAGTTATACCTACTCAAGTAATATAGATATCTTAATTTTTATTTTTAACAGCGTTACCCTCAAAACTGGGATTTTCTTATATTAAATATTTAACTCCAGAATACCAAATTATTTGTAGACAAATACTTGTTCCGTGCGGGATTCGAAACGCGGTCCTCAACGCCGTAACTCAATGCTAAGGCATTGCGCCACGGAGCTGTCATAAGACAGGTGTTTCATGTACATCGAAATTTATATATTCTATAATCATCCGTTTCATTAAATTTAAAGAAAAAAAAACTACATGTATATCTTCTCTAACTAATTCAGATGATAAGCAATGCTGAAAAACTCTTTACAACTTTTTAAAACGCATTTAAATTAGTAAACGTCAAGGCGAGCATTCATTATATCCTATCTAAAGTGCACTTTATATGTAACTAAGGATATAAAATTTCAAGCCATTAGAAAGCCGAAGGGAATATACAAAAAAAAGCTTATCCCCACGGTACTTGCGACCTTATTTAAAGCTAAGTAATGTTTGGAATCCTCTGCATCTGTATACAAAATAACATAAAATTGCAAGTTTTCTTATAAAAATATTTGTAATTATATGTCAGAGAATAAAGAATGTTACTTAGTAACCATAGTAAATGGCTGTATCGATATACAATGAACGATTCCCTGATGATAGTTAATGTGTACACTCATACATATGTAAATACTAAAATAAATGCAAATGCTAATAGCGTCCGAAATCAGATATACTAGAATCGATAATATAGAAGATTATGTGTATAGAATTTTCCACACAATTCAATTAACACAAACAATTCTAAAACCACTATCAAATCCTATAAAACACACAGTCAAGCAAACGAAACACGACAAAAGCAAGCAAAATGAATCAATCGAAAAATAACACCAACACGCATTGTATAATATGGGGATATACGTCATATACCATATTAATATACATTTACTTACGAAGCTACACGGAAGCTGCTAGGAGGTTTCTCTTGCTCATTGTTTTCTGTACAACTTTTTCATTTTGAAAGTATTTGAACCGATGTAAAGAACTTTAAAAGTATTATGTATTTTTGTGCAGTTAGTACCATAATTAGAATTTTGTGTTTTCAAAGATTTTTATGATGATACGAGTACTGACGGCAGGTATTTAATAGTGCACTTATTAATGATATAACTGTGATTGTCAAGGGTTGACCATGCAAACATGAAACTATGTTCAGTAATAATATAAAATCTATTATTACGTGATAAATTTCTAGGTTTCGTATCTAGTGCTTAACACGGTAGTGAATAGACAATAAATTAAAATGCAAGCACAAAAACACGCAAACAATCCGCCTCAGAAAGCTTCACATCAAACGAACCGAGGCGGGCGATGTACAACAGGCAAAAAGATGTGCAAATATCGAGCGGTCGTGCCGGATTTGGATCAGAGGAATGTGGACACCGCTGTCTCTGTAATTTGTTTGGAGAATAAGTTACTTTTATAAAATATTCAAATGCTATGAGTACTTCAGTAAAAAAATTGATTTCATTAACCTTATGCGACATTTCAAGTCATTAGGCAGTCTTTAAATTCTTTTGTAAAGTTCAAATTATTACAAATTGGAGGTACGTATTTCGTCACTTCCATATAGGAACATTCTTTGGAAATATATTATATTCTGCGATAGTTATATCCACATTCCTCCAATATAATTAAGGATTGTCCGTGCCTGTCAACTGGTTCAATCCCTGCGGTACGGATGAGTGTGTTGACCATAGAGACCTGATCTTATTGAATACCAGGCTAGGCCAAGCCGCGTTCCTCGCTCCTTCTTCTGGTAATCCTGCAGGAATATCATTTCATGAAGCTAAAGTTGACTTTATATCATTGTCCTTTGTACCAGAAATAGTAACAACATCGTGCCTTGTAGTAGAAGATAAATAGAAGACGAAATGTATCAAATACAAAATCAATAAAGAACAAAACGAACAAACGTAGTGAATGAGACTCGGTTTACTTGGAAATAACAGCTGCGACACTGTCTAGATGGATAAATAACGATGGAGAGTGAGTGACGCAATTAATAGAAAATGTAACAGATGTAAAGATAAAGTTCGCAGCCGGCCTGTCTGCGCGGGCAGCGCAGCGTTGCAAAAGTCTATCGGATCTGTGGTTAGGTTAATAAATACGTAGACAACCGGTCTTTTAAGGAACCCCTACGTACATCCGGTGCGGGCGTAGGCGCAGTGTCGCCGTGTCGCAATCGTCGCACTGTTATTTATGACTGGAATCCTTTCCATATTCGATTGCATTTCTACACTAATGAGAACACATATGAGAATAGGTCAATCAGGCATCAATGATTATAAAATATACATATTTCACTTTTTAACTGACTGCACTATAGCTTACCGGATAGCGGGACGTGGTTTTCGTGAGAATGTCGCGATGCTCGTTGTCCGAAAGGGCTCCTGAGGGATTTAGGGCTGAGAAAGAATCTTCTTCTGGTGTGTGGTGGCGTGGGGCAGCTTTGCGCTAAGCTTGATGGCTGTTTCGGTGGCTTTGGCAACCGCATTGGTGACTGCCAGTCCTGGTCGAACTGCCTTTGCGGCGAGGGTGTGTACCTCTCCATCACTTGCCGTCTTCCTTGGCTATTCCTGGCGCAGATGGGGCAAGCCTCGTTTCTAAACATGCACGCGTAACAGCGCTCATGCCCGCATGTGTCGATTAATTTTCTCTTTTTACCCTTGTCAAAGGGCATGTTACAACTGGGACAAGATGTACCACCCGTTTCGTTCTCGAGCAGTTGTCTTAGGGCGGCCAGATCTGAAACAATAAAAACGTCATGTAGATCGTGTTTTACGAAAAAAAAAATCTAATATAATAAATATGCAAATTAAGGTTAACAGAATCAACCGTACATAAAAAATACCGTCGTTTGATTTGATTGAAGAATTGACTTTTAATTAAAGTGATTATACTTATAATCACAATAAGGTTGTACCTACTTGATCTTATGAACGATAAGGAAGAAAACAGAAACAAGTTATTGAAATTAAAAAGTTATAGCAGTGTTCCAATAGAAAAAAAAAGAACTAGTCTTTACGATGTCAGCTCATTATCTATAACCTCTTTGTCGGGAGGAACGAGTGGTAAAGTAATAAACTAAAAATATAATCGAGGAATTATCATTGGATAGAACTTGATACGAAAATTATCAAACTTATATGTTTTAATGTTCCGCGACGACTATAAATTATGAAAATAATTTATATAATGTTTGTCCACTTTTCGTATTTTGTATAGCCTGTCCAGTTTGTTCTTTCTTTTCTTTTATTGTATCGGAATAAAATTAAAATGTGCATTAAATTATGTTAACTAAGAAATTTTAAGATAATATTTCTTAAGTTTTTATTAATAAGTTACTGCTTATTGGTGCATTGACTTTTATTAAAGAATCCGGGAGTATGTTTCAATAAATCTATAATGACGTTAATAAAAAAGTTAATATTTATTGTTGGCCCACAAATGAACAGGCGTTTCGGATAATTAAAATCCTTGTTTATTGAGGTTCGATTTGCATAAACATGTGATTTATTGTCGGTTACTGTTACGAGCGCCGAAAGTGCAGTCATTTAAGTTACTAAATCAACACGTTTAAGACGCAGACAAAGATTTCAGACGGCACTATACGGCAGGCGGTAAGTGGTTTGCCTTTAATTGATGCTACACTTGCATATTTTTTTATAAACTAAGAGTGACAAACGTGCACATCGTCTACCTGATGGTAAGTGGATGCTGTGGCCCATAGACATCTACATTTATTCTCGATTAAGAATCAAAGAACAGATGCGTTGTCTCCGATTCCTACAGTCACCATACGAAACATGGCAGCCTTAAGCTGCTATTTTACGTTGGTATCCTGTGAGAGCATGGTCCTACTCCAGTTGAGCCGACGAATTTTCGTGCTACAATCATAATATAGCTGCAGCGTGGCTCTACCACGTGTATATTTGACACTTGGTTAAATGTAAGCAACGTAACCGGAAAAAAATATTTATTTAATAATTATTGAACCTTACAAAAACAATACAGGATCAAAAGACGGACGAAATGCCGAAAGCATTCACTGTCTGCTAGAGTAATTATAGCACTATGAAGCCGATTACAGAGAACAGTCAATATAATTATTAAAAAGTATACCAACACGCACATATCTAAACAATACATAAATGAATGAAATAACGACTCTTCATTCTAATTACTTAGTAATTCAAGTTTGTGTCAGCTGAATATAACTAATTTAGTTTTTGCAATCGAACTTTGCTCTGTTTGATGTTTGTATGATAAGATAAAGAAGCGTCAATATGTTATATGTCTTTAGTAATTAATGGCCAAATACTCAATTATTATATATACTATTATTTTGATTCATATCCGTTCAATTCTCAGAAAATAATTTTGTATCTTTAGCTGTGTGTAAAGATATCAGTTTCAGTCAGCTTCGTTATCGATAGGTAGTGTCACAGCTGCCGTCAGGTTTAAACCGGCATAATCAATAACAGAGGGAAGGGGCAATTTTCACGCAAAGGTCAAAAAATGAAAGTGCTCTGCCTGTCGAGCGGCGATGACTTGTGCCTTTTTACCGACGTTTTGTAATCCATATAATCGCACAAGTGCTATGAAGTACTTTAACCACAGAAATATAATTAAACAGTCAATAGAAGAGTGTTGCCGCCATTTTGGCGACCGATCACTGTCAAGAACATAGGATTTCTTTTGTGTCTTTGGGTCCGTCTGGGTAAATAAATCTTACCAATTTCTGTCGCTGATCTACAATGCGTGTACTGCTGCGTTCAGTTTTGAAGCGTCAGTCAGTCTGCCAGTATAACTAGAGGCTGTGAAGCATCACATCTTATTCCTCAGGAATAATGACGTATCAGTAGTCTTTTTGTTTGAAGTTGGTTGCAAGTGTCCACAAGGTGCACTGTAAGTTGTTTGTCATTTTGTTATAAAAGTTAAATATAAAATTATTTTACGTTTGCAAGCTCGACGAAATTCTAAATTCACACTACATTCATTCGTGCGGTTTAAAGCGCTGCAGATTATAAAGAACGTTAATGCTATCGTTCGCTATCTTAATAATTAATAAGGTAATTGTAAAATCTCGACGTAACCAATAATACATTACACATTTAACGTTTCGAGTCAGTTAAGAGAGAGTAAATGAAAACAGAAAAACATATCTCGGGTCGGTAACGCGCTAAGTCACGGAAGTCAACAAGATCGCTTCGACCTTGTGTAGAAGTCACAAGTTATTTATTTATCTATTTAGACTTCTGCGTGCAGGACGTATAGTGCTGGAGCAGAAAGTATAGTCAATAATTTATTTATATCTGTAATACTATTCTTTTTAGATGAAATTATTTTTTTGATAAATATTATTTCTAATTGGCGGAAGGAGTTGGGTTGAGTTCTTCCGCTAACCGATTGTCTGGACGTGGTCTGCAGGGTATAACTTCAGGCTGTCAGACATTTCATTTTAGTCCTCAGAGGTGAAAAGGCATCTGCCAGCACTTACCGTTAGGTGAACTGTAATTTGACAAAGCGTATGTATTTATACTTAATTTAAACATTTTACTTAAACATTTTAACAATTTTATTATATCTTGAATTCTATGTTAAACTTCTGGTGGACTTGATACTGTGTAAACTTTCGGTATCCCAGTGGTCACTTAAATTCGCCATCATCATCATCGCTGTAATAAATTATTCTTCTAATAATCTCCGAGAAGTTATTCTCATGGTTTTACGAGACGAACAACTAACGACTAGCGTGCGTTCCGCTCCGCGGAACCAAACCAAATCCTGTCTTATAAATCAACCTGGTCATTTTTATCTTTCCCCATTCCTATATTTACCGCCGCCTTCCAAAAAAAAGCTACGTTGTTAATGTCTCGTGATAACTGTAATTTGGTCGAATTAAAACCCCGTAACACGCAATTAACTAGGCCTCTCATAAAGAAAGACATTTATTGAATGATCAGATTTCCTTACAGACGGGAGCTTTCTCAACAAATATTTCAGTTTCAACTTCGACAAATTGGTAATTGCTTTTATCTTACGTAAATTTAATAACATTTCTCGATATCTACTCCTTTTATTACGGGTATAATGTTATGTATATGTTAACGTCGTATGTGTAGTATAAAAACAACAAAGCAGGTTTATTAGGAATCGAGTTTGTTGCGATTGCGTTTTCTTATAGAGTAAGGGTGACCAACGAGCACACAGTCCTTCTAATGGTAATTTACACATGGTAGAGCCATGCTGCAGCTATATTAGTAGTATACTTGTAGCAGGAATGGGTCGGCTAGACCGGGGAAGAACCACGCTCTCACAGAATACCAGCTTAAAATAGTAGCTTAACACTGCTGTGTTTCGTATGGTGAGTGTAGAGAACCGGAGACCCATTTTACTGGAAATGAGGCATTGTATCTTAGTCCTCACGGGTGACAACGCATCTGCATTTTGATTCGCAAACGAGGATAGATGGAGATGTCTATGGGCCACAGCAGCCACTTACTATCAGGTGGACTGTGTGCTCGTTTGTCACCCTATCCTATAAAAAAATGGTGAGTGGTCCATAGACATCTACATCTATCCTCGGTTAACAAATATAATGCAGGTGCTTTGTCACACCTAAAGAATAAGATGGAGTGCCTCGTTATCAATAAAAGGGTTTCAGATTCTCTAAACTCACCATACGAAATACAGCAGCATTAAGCTGCTATTTCACGATGGTCGAGCCAACCCATTCGAGCTACAACCATAATATAGATGAAGCACGACTCTACCACGTAATCTTCAGGAAAAGATTATATCGACAGATACTAAGGTGATTTATTAATTGTGCCGTTTTACTTATTTTGACACGTAAGCAATATACAATTAATTTATTACAAAAATATAATTTTATGAATTAATCTCAGAAGTCATAAGGTGTGTCGCCAGTTGCAATAAGAGTAAATAGAAAACTAAGTTCTATTACATGTACAGAATAATGAGAAATACAGGGTTATAGACACCATGCCTCGACTAATTATCTCATTCCGGTCATTTCGTATTCCTTTTTTCTGTCAAACCGTATGCCGCTAAACAGAGAAAGGATATTCATTCTGATAGCTTAAAATAGAATAAGTCCGTCTGACTGGACAGACGCTGAGTCATTAAAGATTTGCTAAAGGAATAAAAAAAGAAAATCAAATCAAATTAACCCACTTTTCGTAACGGATTATCGGCCTTATAGTCAAGCACATTAATGTTACCGCGTTAAAAAACCTTAGGTCACGAATTTCGAGCAATTTTCGGTAAGGAACTCATCAATTTCGTAGCTGTTATGTTTTTTTTTGTTCGATGCGGTTGAGGCTAGACGGCATCATTACGTGTTCTCGTTATATTGTGCTTTATTTTATTTTGTTGTCTGGCCGTGTTATGTTAGATATACTACGAGTATATAGAACTCGCTAATCGATTTTTTGTTTATTGAATCGTAAGTTTATATCGATATATATTAGTAAATAGATTCGCACAAAAATGCGTAAGTCAGGTAGTACGAGTTAGTGTAAATATACTTTTGTCACTTAATACAATTTTTTTTAAATAATCAGTGGCAATCGATTTAACGGTTCACTTAATGGTAATTCTATTCACCTGATGGTAAGTAGCCCACTGGAGCTTGACGACAGAAATAGGAGAGAA